ATCTGGGCTGTCCTCTGATCTCAGGTCAGTGGGCTGCCTGGTAAGTTCAGATCCTCCTCTGGCCCCTGGGCTGTTTGCGGGGGTTTCTCTCGACCGTGTATGTGAAGTGGACGGCAAGCGAGGGGGTGCCCCGTAGCGACCGCTGACCGTCTTCCTGTCTGCGTGCCTCAGGTACTGCAACCAGGTGCTGAACAAGGAGATCGATGAGAGCGCCACCCTCCTCCTGCAGGAGCTGGTGCGCTTTCAGGAGCGTGTTTATCAGCGGGACCCCAGCAAGGCCAAGTCCAAGCGCCGGCTGGTCATGGGGCTCCGCGAGGTCACCAAACACATGAAGCTCCTCAAGATCAAGTGTGTCATCATCTCGCCCAACTGTGAGAAGATCCAAGCTAAAGGTGTGGAGCAGCCTGGGTGGTGCCGGTCCTCAGGGTCTGGGGCAGCAGTAGTGAAGGGGGGAGCCCATTATCTGTAATCTGGAACCAGGAATCATGGCTGTCACCCCTCCCTCTGTGAACAGGAGGTCTGGATGAAGCTTTGTACAACGTCATCGCCATGGCCAGGGAACAGGAGATCCCGTTTGTGTTCGCACTGGGCCGCAAGGCGCTGGGCCGCTGCGTCAACAAGCTGGTCCCCGTCAGCGTGGTGGGCATCTTCAACTTCTCCGGAGCCGAGGTTAGTCGGGGAGGTGGTTTGGTTGCTGCCGTCGAGCCTGAATGGCACCTTTCCAAAATATCCAGGGTTATTAAAGTGTTACACGGTCTCTCTTATCTTGTACCTGCTTTCTGTAGAATGTGACTGATGTGCTTCTGGTTTAACTCGTGTTTCTGCGTGTATGTGGTTCTGTTCAATCCAAGCAGGACTTAACCCTGTACCCTCATCAGTCACAAGCCCGGTTCCTTAACTGCTCTTGCCCTCAGGAGCTCTTCCACAAGCTGGTGTCTCTGACGGAGGAGGCCCGTCAAGCCTACCGGGACATGGTGTCTGCGCTGGAGCAGGAGCAGGCCGAGGAGGCGCTGAGGAGCGTCAGGAAGCTCCCTCACCATATGGGGCACTCGCGCAATCCCTCGGCTGCCAGTGCCATCTCCTTCTGCAGCGTCATCTCCGAGCCCATATCTGAGGTCAACGAGCAGGAGTACGGTAAGGGAAGCGTGCTCCTTCCGAACCGAAGGCCTCTTAGGACGTGAAACTGCAGCTTTGTGCTTATAAGCAGCGTGGGAAATGAAGCTTTCTCACTCGCCTGAGGTGGGAAATTTAGACAACGGTCATAGGCAAAATACTGAACACTAACCTGCTGACTAGTAGTAAAAAAGAATCACGTGTCAGATTACAACAAAAACAGCATTACGCTGTGTATTCATCTCTATTATTCAAATCGAGGTCCGAGCACTGCTGGTTTTCCAGCCTTCCTTTACCTGTAAGCCAGGTGTGAAGCCTCTGGCCAATCAGAATCAGTAATTATTAAACTAACTACCTGGGAGAACTGAAAACAAGGCCTGGATTTGGAATCTTCAGTCAATCAGTCCTCTAATTAGTGACCTAATTAGGGAGTTGCAGCAAAAACCTGCATACACACCGGCCCTTTGCGGATAAGATTGGCCACCCCTGTCTTAAGACCTCTTCAGTCCTGTGGTTAAATTCTTTTGGGCCAGCTTCAGCCCCTCATCAGCCAATCATTGTGGTTCTTCATTGTCCCTTAGAGACAAACTGGAGGAACATGGTGGAGTCGTCAGACGTCCAGGAGCCTGCCGAGGGCGGTACTGACAGAGAGCCAGGCAGCAGGCCGGCCCAAACCGCTGTGCCGGGCCAGCCCAGGAGCGTGGGGCTCGCGGCCGAGAGGGAGGAGGGCCGCCTGGACGACTCACTGGAGTGCGCCTCCCAGCACTCGGCGCACTGCACAGAGACCGGCTCCCTCGACGGCAGTGGGAGGGACCCACACAGCTCCTCCATCACAAGCACAGCCAGCACGCTAGTGCCTGGAATGTTGGAGGAGGGTGAGGAGGAGGAAGAAGAGGAGGAGGAAGAGGAGGACTATACCCACGGAGCCGTCTCCCTGGAGGTGCCACCCCTGAGCAGCCGGATTGAGTCGTGGGTCTCAGAGACCCTGGAGAACCTGCAGTTACAAGAGATCCAGAATAGCAGTGAGGATGAACATGCAGCGGTGGGAGAAGGTGTTCCCAGTGAGGAAGAGCTGGATGCGGTGGAACTTAGCGAACCCACGCTGGACTATGAAGAGCAGCAGCTAGATGCCAAGGGCGGCTCCCTTTGACAGACTGCACTCCACTTCCCTGTCCAACCCAAAACCAGCACCCGCCCACTCATAGCATGTGAGTTATTGAGACAGCCCACCTGATACAGGAATGGGCTGCATTACCTCAGGAAGTTCTCCTGGACCATCTCCATCAACACAGTGGACTATGATCTAAAAATTGTTAGCAATTTTGGATCTATAATCCGTTCTGAAAACTTATTAAATTATTGTAGAAATAAGTTTGAGAAGTTCGAAATTCTTTAATGGTCTTAACTACTATCTTTGCACCTACTAAATTGGACCACAAGGGACACTAAACCAAGGCTGTGCTGTTTTCCAGTGGGAGTTGGACGGTTTTGAGCCCTGTCTCTTCCTTGATTCTGCCTGATTGATTTACCGTTATGTGTGTATCAGTAGACTGACGGCACATGGCACTGTGCTTAAAATGAAGGAAATGTAAATCCAGACCTGCTTCAGTTTGGCCAATTTGGAGCTCATTTATCACACTAACCCACAATGAACCTGCACTCATTTTTGCACAAGATACATAAATGTCAAATGCAGATGATTGATGCTAACAGATTGCTTGCACATGTGACCCATATAACAGGTTTAGGTAATCAAATGTAAGAAAACAAATATTCCATGTAATTTTATAGGAGTTATGTGTCACAATCACAGAAATGAACTTTTAAGTACGAAACATTTTCATGTATTACTAACTTATAATAAAACGAAACTAATAGTTTTACAGATTATTTTGAAGATTATCAAGAGTAACATGTACCAGTGCAATTTTAAATGTCTTGAGCAGACGATACTAGATTTAGTGGCACAATTTTGCTGCAATTGTTGTTTTTCAATACTACTTTCATATCTCTTTTTCTCAAAAGGTAAGACTTTAGCCCACAAAAAAATGGAATCCAAGCTGGTCTTTGGCTTAGAAAATCATTCAGATAGACATTAGTGTGCTGTACATTGATTGATCTTTTGCGTGTTTTTATTCTGCATTTTACATAATTAATTCTGAGATGCCAGGCACAGCACGCAGACTTGAATAATATGTTAAATGCAGTGCTCTGGTGACAGCCTTAGGAACCGTAACTTAAACAACCAGGACTTCTTAAGAAAATTAATTTGGCTTTTTTTTCCCATTAATTGCACGTATTTTTTTTCTCTATATTTTCTTGTTTTGAATGAATAGACTTTTGAATATCCTTGAACTTTAGAAAGGTGTGTATGTGCTGTGCATTGTTCTGAGCCTCTGAGAAATACCAGCAGTTTGTGTCACCAGAACTAAATACTCTAACCCTTCTTAGCATATAAGGCAAGATTTATACACTCACACTTTTTCTTTTGCTCTTTTGAGACAAATCAAGGGACCTGTAACATTAAGGTCAAAAAGCTGACTGGGTTTTCTCCAAGGTGCACTTTAAATGTATAGATTTTAAAGCCAGTCAGAATTTTACACATCTGAATAACGTGTGATAATAAGCAGCTTTATGACAGTGTGTTACTGTGGTGTAACTAAACTGAATTGTCTCCCTTTTTATACTAATGGTACTGTACCTGTGTGTAAACAATATTCCTGGCGTTACTGTATTTTATTAATGTTTACCCAGTAACAATCGAGAAGGCACCATTTGCACAATGTAAATACTACTACATTCCTACTTGTACCTAATGTGAAACCCGAGCTGTATGAAGAACTTTTAAGCATATTGCTTTTCTTTATATTACATTTAAGCGTGTCCCTTTAAACTGACTCACAGTAATTACTTACAAAAAAAAAACATTGATTTTGAAATATAAAGCCAGTCAAGAGGCGTTCTACTGAGAAAAGGAACAATTGTAATGTTTATATTGAATCTTTTTTAAATTACACTTTAATTGAACATAGTTGTAAGATTGTCTGTTTATATATGAGGAAATATGTAGGAAAAAATCTCTGCTTCTGCTTTTGGATTTTATATTTCAAAATATTTTTGTAAGGACTGGAGCTTCCGGAGTGATTTTCATGCCATAACTGTTTTTTTCTTTAGAAACTGGTTCAAGTATTTTTGACAGAATTGCTATTTAAAAATCCATCCATCCATCCATCCATCCATCCATCCATCCATCCATTCACTAACCCTGTTCTGAGTGGCAGGGGGGCTTGCAGCCACTAGCAGGCAGCATAAGGCACAAGGCTGGACTACACCGTCGACGGCATGCCACTCCAATGCAGGGCACATGTGCACACAGTCTTATGCTGTGAGCAACTTAGTGATGCCCTCTCCAGACAGACCAGACACACAGGAGGAATTAAAAACCCCAGTTCCGTATGTGTGAAATTTATGCTACCGTTTAGAGCCACTGTGCTGCCCTGATATTCATTCTTAGTAAAATCACTTTTTACTGAATGATTATGTATGTGATTCCATGTCATTTTTGCAATAACTTTTTTAAGTACAATAGAATTGACAATTGACTTACAAAAGGCTTTTCCTGGGGGTTTATTGGCTTGTTTGGATTTCTTTATTTAAACTGCTCTGTTATAAAGGGAGGTTATTGTATATCATGCATTTTTTCTGAAATTAAAAGTCTTTGTCTTGCCCTTTGTATGTTTGCTTGGCATTTTTCACACATGATTATAGGGTGCTCTTCATTGGGTAGGGGGGGGGCACCCAAAAAGGGGATTATTAGTTTTAATAATGTAAGCAAGGCGCACAGACAGTAAAAAATGGCCAAAGCTTCAGTACACAAGTTGTAAGGGGGTGTTGCTGGTGTTTTGCATGTGACTGAAGGAGGGAAAGTGAGTATATCCAAATGAGTGGGCAGGTGGGCAATTTCTGGCTGGGGTGAAGATTAGAGAGGTTGAATCTGAACACCTGCTGCACTGATGGTTTTATATCAGTTCGGTTATCTAGCATATGCTCTCTGCCATGGGGGGTCTGTTTTAACATCAGGTGACAGGGCAGACAAAGGACCAAGCTCTGCCCCTTTCCAAGCCAAGGCCATTGTGCTGAAGACATCAAAGGCAACTGTCCGAGAAACAGCTTAATCCAACAGAGTTCAATTGCAGTCCATCAGAGGGCGTTTCTGTAAAACAGGAACGCCCCCACCGTGACGTTGGCATTTGGAAGCAAACTACTGGAGAACCTCAGTAAAAGCAATGATAACATGTAACTTTTTATGTGTTTTTCCTTAAGCCTTAATGTCATGTCGATAAACAACAGAAAATAGTGCGCATGTTGTCAAATCAACAAGCTGTAATGCGAAAGTTGTGCAGCCGTATCGTTAATGAGGTAACACCATGGACAAATGTTGCGTTTGTTTTATGGATGTATTGAGAAATATCCTCGGCAAAATTTGTTTCCTGGTGTGAACTATATGACGTCCGTGTTTAGCGTAATGGCGAAAGAACCAATGAAAACGACGAGGGGTGTTCCTGTCGAGGGCGTTCCTGTTTCCTTCTGGCTTAGTCGCTTCATCAAAAAGTCCACGCGTCAATCTCAGCATGAAAAACCGTTACTGCATTTATTAAATCATAGTCATTAATAAAAAAACGTCATAGGTCTAAAAGAGGACACACATCCATAACGTGCTACTTAATGTATTTCAATTTTTATGTTAAAAAATCTTTGCAGCCCGCACATCTATATCGTTTAAAATCAGTGTTATTTATATATTGTTATGCATGCTAATACGATGTTGGGACTCTTTACAAGGCTGGAATTGGGGAATATGAATTAGCAGTATTGCGTTTCAGGGACAGGCCAACCCGCCAATCACTGCACGCGGTCCTTCCCGCGGCGCGAGGCGCCATCTTTCAAATCTACAGCACGGCAGCTGCTTCTCCTGGATCCTCCCTCTTCCTGGTTTAGGAGCTAAGGCCCGCCTTCGTCTGATTATTATTGGATATCTCCACGGGACGTGAGTCCTGGCTTCACTGGTATTGGCTTTTTCTACCGTCAATTTAAAAGTTTGTCCGTCAATATAGCGTTAGCCGCTATTATTTGGGTAGTTTGTTTTGTAAGGCTTTAAGATTATAGAAATGTAGGCATTTGTTCAAGTTTAATTAATGAAATCCATGTTTACATTCTCATTTTATACTAGACTTCGCCGATCTCATTTCTGTCAGACGTTAAAGGTAAAGTTCATGGCTTGTTTGTCGTTCCTACGGTGCTTTAAATTAATGTGTCAGAGCTATGTTTTAGTATTTCTGAATTTATTTTAAATATCGCTTTAACCAATCTCTCATCTGTCAAATACTAATTTGCGGTATACATTGTGGTATTTTGTTTTAATGATTATCAATGCAAAGTTATCACTCTGCGTTGTACTGGTTCAGCATACCACAGCGACTGTTTGTTTATGCTAGAGTAGTTACAAATTGAACGTCCAGAAAAGTATTTTTTATTGTTACCTTTCCTGGTCATCGCAGGTTTTCTACAACCTTTGTATCCTAGAAAGCTCTACGTGTTTCACATCCTGTTGACTCACAGTGCACGTGAATTGATACAATATAATCTATCCTTAAATGGGAAATGGGTTTATAAATATATGTGCGCGCTACAAATATTCGTAGCAGTCGATTATTACCAGCCTTTTCCACTAACTAGAAAAGAAGAGCAGACCAAACCCTGACACCAAAGGGAGATTGCTGGTTATTAACAATGTCAAAACCCCGGCTTGACAGGTTCAAAGTGATCGGCTCCTGATGCCGGCATGTCTATCGACTTTGACAGCGCTGCACTCCAAACGCAGCATGAAGAGGAGGAATATGACCAGGAGGATTATGCCAGAGAGCAGGAGGTACGCCATCGTATGCCACATCTGGGGAGGTCTGCTAGCTTTAAGGAGGAATGGTAGAAGAATGCTTGGTACAGCACACAGATGATGGTCTTTCTGCTTTTACTTCCAGTTGTCATATTATACTAAGTGTCCCCTTTCAGTTACACATCCAGTGTCTGCAGCCTTCATTGTGGGAGCAGGACAAGCCGAACATGGCTCGCTCTCTGCACCTTGAAAACTCCCACACGCACTCTTTGGTTCGTTGGCTTGTAGTGGTGTGTTTAGTTAGTGTTTCATGCTGGTTACCAGGCTTACTGTAACCCTGCTGTGTTCCTGCTCATCAGCACACCGATTCAGCCATTCCAGTGCGGTTCCTGAGCTGGCCTGCCTGTAGGGTGTAGCTTGTTCTCTTCTCGATAGGGCTGTGCTGAGCAGGGAGAGGTTGGCTAACCCAAAAGCCCTCCGTGTGGCTTCATTAACACACCTTGTCTGACCTTTGGGGTCCATGTCCTAGGCATGATTATACCCCCAGTGTGTGATTGCTGATGATGACCAAAAGCATGCAGTTTGTACCATTCGGGAACTCGTCGCAAAAGAAAGAAATGGGAAAACTCTGTAGTGGCCACCATTGAGCCCTGACTTAAAGCCAGCAGAACACGTTTCGCTTCTAAAGAGGAAACTCCATAATGAAACGCCAAAGAACAAGGCTGAGCTGGGAGAGAAAGCAGAACAAGTCTGGAGGAGCCCAGGTTCTAAAACAGGGGTCTCCGACTCCGGTCCTGGAGAGCTACCATCCAGTAGGTTTTCTATCATACCTGGCTTCTGATGAGCCACACCTGTTCTCAGGTAAATACCAGAAACAGGTGCCGCTCATCAGAAGCCAAGTGGGACAGAAAACCTACTGGATAGTAGCTCTCCAGGACCGGAGTTGGAGACCCCTGCTCTAAAAGCACCAAAGATCTTGCACACTCCATGCCAAGACGACTCGGGGCTGTTGTTAAAAATAAGGGATGTTTAACAAAATATTATTATTATTATTATTATTTTTTTTTTTTAAAAAAGCTTTAACTAGATATGTCTCAACACTCTTTGTAAGTTCTTTTAGAACTATAATTTGGTTTTCAATTTCTTACTGCTTGAAAGGGATGCTTCAGTTAAAAGCACTTGTTTTTTCTAATGTTATATTTTTTGTAAACAATCAAATGAATAAAGTAATGATTTTGTTTTAAAAACCAATAAATTCCGAGCCAGCAGCACCATGGACGAGTAGACTGAGGTCCTCGTGCCCCGGAGCCTCAGGAATCAGCTCAGGGTTCTCATTGGGTCATTCTACGTAATGAATTCCTTTAGGTCAGTATAATATATGCATAACTAAAAGTGTGACGATATTCCTTTTTTCTTTTCTTTTTTTTTTTTTTTTACCAAAACTGATTTTTTGTGGAGTCTCCTGTACTCTCATTTTTACATCCAAGAGATCATCTCTGTATCGATCTATTGCTGGCATATTCGTTATGGCTTCCCTTTGGTGCCCCCCCCAGAAATAAACCTATTATGCCCTTAATGACTTAATTTTATCAAGTCATCAAATGTATGGACATTAAACGCTTCTCTCTAGCTTATTTCTTCTGCACATGTTGCACACGTACATGTCCACAAGGGTGAGCCACTGCACTGTAGTTGAGGCAGGATTCTGAACAAGGTGGGTCGGCCCATTGTGCTTGATGCCTCGTTTAAGCTGTTCCTTTGAGAATTGCACTGTCAAACCGAACTCTTTCAACATGTGTTGTTTTGAAAGGTGGAGGACATTGTTTTCTAACAGGTGAGTTATTCTAGGGAATGTGGGAGCAGCAGTTTCCGGGTCACGGTAGTGAAAGTGCAGTTCATGTATTGAAGGATGACTTTGAATGCAGGGTGTCTGCTGGCTCTCATATACATGCATGCATTGCTTTGGTGGTCTCTGATATTCCCGTCGACAGAGGGACACGTGCAGCTTCCCCCTGTGTGATGTAAGGGCTCCAGGCCCCGGGTCCCTGCCTTGGTTGTCTGTATCCGTCTTGCGGTCCACGGTTATTCGTCCCGTGAAGCCCAGCCTGGGTGTCAGTGTGGGAGCGCCGCGTTGCTAACCTGACCCTGGGGAAGGCCTCTGAGGCTGGGTGTGGCCCAGCCTTTGCAAGCCCACGGCCCAAGCGGAGCTGGGGGGGGAATGTTCCAGGGTGATGTCATTGGGCTGGCGCCGTCGCTGGCTGTCCTGTGCAGCACTGAGCAGCGCCAGACCTCACCACTCACTGCTCTGCTGTTATATGCCTTCGTCTGGAGTCTGGCTCGACCCCACCCTTTCGATTGTTTGGGGATCTGGGGGCCAAGGCCTACATTTCGGCCACTCTGCTCGAATGAAAGGACATGAGTGAGGCATGGGCCAGCAGACATGAAGCGAACTGCCAGCCGTTGAGTCAGAGGCGGCCTGATCTCGGTCACGCGTGACTGAAGTAAGCGTGACTCGCCCTCCACCTCGGGGCTGTCGGGAGAGCTGAGGTGCTGTTGGGCAGGTTATGCTTTAACCAGAGTGCCTCCTCACTTCCTTCCCCATGCCTTTCGGGCTGGAGATGGTACCCCTAGCTGCCTGGGCACAAATAAAAAGGCAGCAGTCTGGCTCACTTAAGGGAACATGGCGTTTATTGGGGTCTCGGCATTTCTAGCTGGACGATTTTTAACCCCCTCTGAAGGATGTCGTTCACCACTGATATTTTTCAGCATGCTTAGACTTCACTGATTCTTTTAAAATGAAAGTTTCCTTGTTTATTTTCATCTGTAGTCAGTCGCTCATGTGTGCAGGTTTCCGCGTTGGTAACTGGTAATGTTTCTGCTCCAGTTAAAGGAAATACACAGGTCTCTCAACGATGGGATTTGCTTGGATGGGAGTCGAGGCGAATGGGGGTGGGCCGGGCGCTTTTCTGGTTTCCGTGGTGGGTGTCCAGCGGCTATAATGAGGGACTTGATGAGGAGGATAGTTTAAAAGCGGCCTGTGTAGGGAGCACGCGGCAATGCAGGTTCGAGTGAAGAGGTGTGACGTGATGGAAGAGCTGGAGATGGACATTGAGCAGATCCGCTGGTGCCTGTGTGACGAGAGTGACTATGAGCGTTTAACTCAACAACAAAAAACAACAAAAAAATTATATGTTTCCTTTACAAGCTGTCTAAAGAAGCTTTACAAAAATGAAAAAATAGAAAAAGGCAGGTGATTTTTTATTTTTTTTTTTTCTAAATATTTTTTTCCCCTTCTTTAAGTTAAACAGTAACTTACCCATGCACAGGCCTCTTCCCGGTAGGTCTGGTATCTGAACTTTGTTAGCGGTACCCGTGTTGCTGTCACATGACCTGGGACCCAGAGTTTCCACTCCATTTGCAGCTTGGGCCGGTGTTCTGGGACTGCAGCTGCCTCCCGAGGGCCTTGCCTTCAGCTGCGTTTACGCAGCTCTTACTCTGCGCTCTCCCTCAGCTGCCTCCCGAGGGCCTTGCCTCTGGCTGCGTTTACACAGCTCTGACTCTGCGCTCTTCCTCAGCTGCCTCCCGAGGGCCTTGCCTCTGGCTGCGTTTACGCAGCTCTGACTCTGCGCTCTTCCTTAGCTGCCTCCTGAGGGCCTTGCCTTCAGCTGCGTTTACTCAGCTCTGACTCTGCGCTCTTCCTCAGCTGCCTCCCGAGGGCCTTGCCTCTGGCTGCGTTTACGCAGCTCTGACTCTGCGCTCTTCCTCAGCTGACTCCTGAGGGCCTTGCCTCTGGCTGCGTTTACGCAGCTCTGACTCTGCGCTCTTCCTCAGCTGACTCCTGAGGGCCTTGCCTTCTGGCTGCGTTTACGCAGCTCT